GCTCAGGAATCCTAAGATTTTGCCACTCTTACACAAAATGGAAGAGGTATTAATCTGTTCGTGATTGTAAACTTGTTCGGCCATAATGCATTCAATACTCGCTAAATCAAGAATCAAAGTTGTTTCATTCAGAAACAATCTGACGTTCTTTAACCTGCCATATACCTGAGGAAAGAACTCTTATTTTTCGTTCTGGAAGGTGGTCGCTGTCACATTTCTGTGAGAAGTTTTGTACTGCCATAATGTCGAACCATGGAATTAATAGAACTACATATTACTGTCCACTAGCAATGTCATGGCAAAACAAAAGACCGGCTATGTGCTATTACTACAGTGCACACTGGTAATTATTACAAGGACAATAATGGTTAAGAGTTATGGCGAAGTCCTTAAACTGTTGTTATGGGATATTAATTCTATATTGCTCTATAAACGACCGAAATTCTATACCGTACTAACAGCGGTGCTGGGCAATAAACTAGCTGCACCAAGAGCTAAATAGAAAAAAAAATTTGCATGTTTATAGCACCACACAAAAACCACGTCTAAAAATACCATGGCACTGAAGATGCTAAGTCCGCTCGACCTGTTTTCTTTAGATTTTATTTCTCCAAATACGACTTCCTGACAGGAACTTATGACGTCCAGTTTCCTTCGAATACTTCAGATTATGTACGCGTTCCAGATGCCAATGAGTGACATTCGGTAGCATTGTGTAGTGAGACTTGTTTAATATTACTAAAACTATTTTATACCCATAAAATTTTAGTAAGCAGCATTCCTCATAAGACACTTGCACTTAACCTTTTATGTGAATTTCATACCGTTAAATTAATTCAATCTTTCGTTTCTTTGTAATAAGTTTAATGTTATACTCATTGTCGACTGAACCGTCTAATACCAAGAGCAGCAGAAACTAAATATAATAATCTATTAAAAATAACGCGATTTAGTGACCTAATTATATTTGACTACTCTGTCATATATTTGGACTGTCTTAAAGATTCCAAACAGGTTTAAAATACTGAAATGAAAATTTGCATGGTTGCAGTCTTAACATAACTAACGCCATGGAGGAGTGTCCGTCTTATGAAGTTAACACTACTCTCGGCTAGTCAAGAAATTCCTCCCCCTCCTTATGGAATTCGAAGTTTCATTACCGTGTTCACAACAAAACCGCCACCAGTCCCAATCCTGAGCCAGATAAATCCAATCAACTCCCACCAGAACTAATTCCTAATATTAATTTTAATATTATCCTTCAACTATGCCCAATTTCGGAAACAATACATCAATCACAAAAAAAAAGAATAAATATCAAAAAGTTGGGTTAAAGCTTTAAATTATTTCCAGAGACGTTTCGAAGAAGTGGCAGAAATGACTGAATAATCCAAAAAAAATGAGTTGTCTGTTTACAGGAGGATATAAAACAAAGGAGAAGTATAACCTTATTTTAAACACGAAAATTATGTGGTGATAAACTATCAGAGCAAAATCTGAAAACAAATACGAATAGGAAATAGTCACACTTTCTAACTAAAATTAGAGTAATACGTCTTACAAATTCTGTAATAAATACCCTTTCTGGGCCGGAACTAGATTTATTCAAGTGTACTCTGCATAAATGTTCAGCGTGGGTGATTTTAATGTCTTAGATTTTAACACCACATAAAGATGTGAATCTCTACATTGTAATTAAACTCATTTAGAGTAATAGTACTTAACTGTGTAGGCTAGTAATTAGTACCGCATGAAGTGGGATAGCTAGGCACTGGCCCTCGGAAAACAAGTCGCGGTTTTAATGGTCCAAAATCATATACGACTGAGAATTCGTCATATGTAGAGGACATTCAGGAACGCCGGGTGGGATATAAGACGACATTCATCGCTTTCCGCCTGGTTACATAGGCTGCTCCTTGTGAATGTATGTCGATCGTCCATGACAAGGGCCGACTCATCAAAGGAGGCCGCGCACCATTTTCCGCGCAACCGATCTCAAGGGAAGCCCTGTCATTGGCTCGCTCTAATCTCGGCGATTGGCGGAGCAGCGTAAAGATGTTCATATCTGGGGTGATAACAGCCAGTCGGCAAGATGAAACATGGAGCGAGTAAATATTGTCCCACAGCCAGAAGACCGTAGCGCCGTCAGTTCAAACAGTTCGGAACTGGAACGCTTCACGATATTCAATTTCGATCGGTCCTTTAAACATGAAGTAGGTTGTTTAAGAAATTTGTAGACGTTCAGTAAGTACTCGAATGGTTGCAAAATACGTGGTTCTACTTTCGGAATTTTTTTAGTCCTTCGTTGTGATAATTCGAACGCTTTAGAATCTACAATTTTTATTAATTTTTGTTACCCAGGACCTCGTTTCTCAGAGCATCCTATACAAGATAGATGTCAGATCGAAATATTCGCAAAAGAAGACCTGGGAGCAACAGTGGACTAAGCCAAGAAGTTGGAAAATACAGAATAAACACAAATGTAATCTCACCACCACTTTCCATTTTTATGCAGAGGCGAGAAAAACCTCGTGGGGTTTGTCAAGCCAATATTTAGTTGCGTATATTTCAGAAACTGGCAAAAGGGAATAACAGCAACAATGCAGGATTTGAACAACAATGCTTAGCGTTATCTCAGTTGTTATCAGTTTTAATAAAAGTGGGGGTTAGCCCACTCTTACTCCCAGGCCATCAATTTTAACACAAAGAAAGTTCCATACAAAGTTCCTAGGTACGTTTATACATAATATCCACACCATATATCAGGGTCCTAGCTGTAATAAGTTATTAGTTACTTTAGCAAAACTGAAAGATAAAAATTTCTCTTCATGTTCTTAAAGTTGACCTTGGAACAACTTGCATATACAACATCTGAAGGCCATTTAATAATACACATTCAGAATCCTATATGAAATGGCGTTAGTGACTCTCTCACCATTAGTTTGAATAGTCACCATGTTGCTATTATTGACGGATGTTAAGAATTTTAAGTTACTGCAACGAGGTAACATCCATACAAAGCTTCATGAAAATAAATGACAAGTTGCTTCAAACATTATTACGGGGATAAATATCTTACATGGATATAATTCTACAAAAGTATCTTTCCTTCAAAAGTTAATTAAGTCAAACCTGACTACGCGAATAAAGTAATTTTAGTAACTCCATGGAAAGTTAATTAAGTCAAACCTGACTATGCGAATAAAGTAATTTTAGTAACTCCATAGTGCTGGAGGGTGTTCCATGATCAAGAAAGTTCCGACTCTTACAGAATCCGGCGTTTCAGTGCCGTGCTCATAAAAGCCTATCGTTGGACTCTATTTTAAACCAGTTCAGTCTACTCAGCCATTCATACCCTTATTGGATAGATCTATTTTGTTATCCCATCATCTGTCAGCTTAGCCTATTTCTCTGCAAATGGTATTTTCCTTCGAAAATGCTTTCGTATTAAGTCATGCATCTTTTCCTTGCATTCAGTGTTACGTATCTCGCCTATCTTATCCATAATTTTATCAGCCTGATAATATCAAACGAAGTTTCTTATGAGGCCCCCTCAGTGTGTCACTCATCCTATTATTTTCTCTATTTGTATTCAAATATTTTCCACTGTGTTCTGTCCTCGAAGGCTTTCAGTAAATGATTCCCGCCACAGCGAAACACCAAGTATTAATAGGTCCAAAATCACTTCCACAGCCAGTACAACCTCGTTCTTTGTCGATTGTTTTTATATACTAAAAACAACCTTGACTTCAATCGTTATTATGGGTTCAAGGGTTATTATGAAAAATGCGACACAAGCTGGCTGGGAACATGTGAACCGCGCTTTGTATCGATGTTCAACTGAAGTAGGGCTACTCATTCTTCGTGCAGTTTTCGAACAAAACACATAACAGCACCGACAGATAACATCAGAGTCAGACCGCATCGGTTATTTCTTGTTTTCGTTTCATTTTATAGATGTCTCTGCGTTACTGTTTTATTGATTTCAGTTGTAAACCAAGTGACAACATGTAGGGGATATCACGCTATTGTGTTTAGATGTAATACGGACACGGAACAAAATGAAATATTTTCTTGTGTTTTTGTATGGTGGGGACTACGTTCTTTCCCCTCAACTTCACAATTGGTAACAGTGGACCTACGACAGACAAGCCAGGACAAATGTTTGTGCCCGTGTTGAAGTTCTCAGTCTGTGTGTGATCGTGTATGGTGCTGAAATCGGGGAGCTCGAGGTGAGGGCACCAAAAGTCAAGATGGGACCAAAGTACATAAAATAAGCAAACAAACAATTAACACTATAAAAAATACAGTAGTTGCACTAGTGTGTATTTTATAGTGTTAATAGTTTGTTTATTTTACGTTCTAATACACTACACGGTATACAAAATTTTAAGATTTTGGGACTAAAGTGGTTCATGACGGAAATTTTATTAGATTTTTGGAAGTTGTTTAAGGGCTATCAATTATTTTCAGTTATTAAATATATTTTATAGATAAGCTTAGTTGTAAAACTAAACATGAAATTTATATTTAGAAATAATATGTATACGTTACACTATACGCTGTGCTCTCAAAGTGTTAAAGCATGCATTACACCGAACTACCTTATTCCGTATTTTCCAAAATCTAATTTCTTGGGTGTAGAATCCAGTGCTTGAAACTTGGCCCTCTTCAACATCGAGGTCTAAAATAAATGGAGCCTTACCTCCTACCTCGTAGATCTAAATACCTTCCTCGGCACTTTGTTCTCAGACCACCCCTCCAGCTGTTTTGCTACAAAGCCAGGAATCAAGTGTCGATCTAATAAAGTAGCACGTATAATTACGGTAGTCATGTCTATTCTGAAGCGGACGGTAGCAAGCCATTAATTTCATCGTGAACATAAATTAGAAAACAATAAACATGTTAGCACGTGATCCAAAGCCCGCAAAGCTGTCGTGTTTTTTCTGTGCCGAGACACTGTGACTCCATTTCAGGGGATGCATTCAGTGTTTACTCACCCGTAAGCAGCCAACGCGGGGTCGTAGGGGTAGTAGCCGGTGGTGGGCTGAAGCCCTGCACTCGTCCACGCAGACATGTCTGCCGAGGAGCTGCCGTCCTTCAACGCATACGGATTACTCTGCAAGAAAATCAAAACACTCTGTACACATCTAAAAGTGACTAGTAGTATAACAAACGTTCTGGGCATGCGCATTCAAACAGGAAATTGGGATACTTTGTATTCTTGTCTGATATGAAAATTATTAATCATGACATAAAAAAGGGAAATTAGTGTTCAGTTTCACGCTCCTTTTTAATCCCCCGGGAAAGAGACAAAAAGTTGTAACTTTACCGCATCTTAGAGCACGCAAGGAATATAAGTAATATATCTTCTGCATTAATTGAAAACACCTCCGATACCAGGAATCAGAAGGCAGGATTGTAAGAAAAACTATAACTAGAAGAGAACGGTACATCCAGCCGTCTACAAACGCACTCCATTAGTATTCTTGTCAGCTATTTTCTCATCGTCAAAAAAAAAAAAAAAAAAAAAAAAAAAAAAAAAGATCGAAATTTCAGTGAAACTTGAGAAAGCTAGTTTTCAAAGGAAAAAAGCACTAGAATAGATGTGATGTAGTCAGTAGGGAGTGAATTTCATCCCTTCGTTTTTGAAATAAGTTGTGACACCGTTTCCACCCCCCACCCCCCGTGTTACAACCACTCCGGTGCCTCCTTTTATAACTTCTTATTCTTCCATTCTCTTCAATACATACTGAGCCAGGGGTGTAAAACATTCACAATACATTTTCGACGACAAAAATAAACCGCAGATGGTACCTTAAAAATATGATATTGTTCTTTATTCTTTCTCTCAGAAGGATTATACAACGTGTAATTCTAATTATAATATCAATACTTATCAGACGTCGAAAGATGTAGTCGTACCGGGCTGCATAGACAATAACAATATATAATATAAATAAGCAAACAAACAACTATTAACACTATAAAGAAGACGCTATTGCCATACGCGTTTCAACCTTAAAATGTCATCATCAGTGGCACCAAACTTGATTTAATTAATAGACATTTAATTAAATGAATTGATTTCCCTGATGCCACTGATGATGACATTTTAAGGTTGAAACGCGTATGGCAAAGCGTCTTCTTTATAGTGTTAATAGTTGTTTGTGTGCTTATTTATATTCTAATACACTACACGGTATGCAAAGTTTTAAAAATAACAATATATGTCACTCACGAATCTTCTGAAGCAAATAATTTGCTTTTCCTGAGTGTTTCAACATAAGAGCCTACTCTTCCTTTAACGCCCTCAGTTCCACCAACATTTGAAACATAATTTACCGTAGCATGCAGATATCAATGCTAAATTAGTCGTTCCTTCAACAAAGTGTATAAATGAACGTACAAGGGTGAGGTAGTGTTCGCATGTTTAATTTTCAAACCCATTGAGCGGATTTCGATGCAATCTGGTATTGAGAAAGTATACAAAAAGTTGTAATTCCTAACATAATTAAGAGCTAAAACCCAATTTAATCAACTTACAGAAAGCTAATCGTCATGTAAATAACGTGAACCTAAGGAACATAACAGGTTTAATAATAATTAAGATAGTATACTTTAATTACTGAAGTCAACAAACTTCATGTGAATCGTTTCTGGACGTGATGAAGGGTCTAAGTAACCAATTTACTTCAAAGTAACACGAGTACATGCGTCTTGCCTTGTTAAGTGTAATTAGCTTTGTAACAACATATAATATCGCCAAAGAACAGTAATATATGCAAAATCCTAAGATAGAAAACACATTTCGAAATATATTATGTTACATTAATTGTGTTAAAAATATTTAAATTCCAGTGAGTACGCAATATGCAAGATTAGACAAGCCCTCCTAGCTCTAACTTGTCTTCCGATAGCGTCTTATTTAAAAATAACCAGAATTGTTCTGAATGAAATTACGTTCAAAAGCAGAAATCAGTCAAGACATTCCCGCCTTTCATTATCCAAAAATATATTAATATGTTCACAAGCTGTTATCACTGTACCCTGTGATAAGCCAGTTGCAATCAATCCACACACTCCCACCCTCTTTCCTTAAAATTCACGTGAATAGTACCACATGCCCCAACCATCTCAACATTCTTGATTTGAAAAATGGGCTGTATAATACGAAGCTCCGTATTAGGTAATCTTCTCGGGTACAGCTCTGGTCTTAAAAATAAAGCATCAGTATTAAACTGGTTTTATATTTTAATTTTATACTTTTAAATCAGAGCGCTGATTTGATTTGCTCACCCCTGTACTCTAGACAGCATCAATGGTTTTCCTACAGTGTGCGTGCGATTGATTTGTATCTAGAAAAAAGGAAGAAATAATATTTCGAAAAGTTCTGCCTATTCAGAGGAGTCTGAGATATCCACACTACACACATCGAAAACATTCAGTAACCTATGTTTCTGGTATGAACATGAACATTAACATTTAGCTGTTCAGGGACAGAGTTTTATAATATTGGGTAAGAGAACTAACCTTTGACTCAAGATAATTTTATGCAAATAACATTAAGAATTAAATAAAAATAAACAGATAAAAACAAACGAAATTTCCTCGTTTAGAAACAGTATTTTCCTTGGCAGTGAAAATCGCCTGTCCTTCCTTGTTGCCGAACTGTGATTTAAACCTACTAATTGGTACAATTTGAGGAAAAGTCTAATGATAGACCTACAATTTTAGTGCCATTCAGAAATATAGTTGCGTTAGAATCCGTCCACTGCGTGTGTGACTGACGTCCAAGAATATCATACAGATGGATGCGTCTTATGAAGTTAACAAACACGCAAGAAGAAAGCTTCAGGAAGTAAATTGTCTTTAATCTGGATTTGTACAATCGGAGTAATTATTCTTACGAGTTTAGACGCTGTTTCCTCCTAGCAATATGCAAACTTCTTAATTACTTAATTCGTCACGCACCACTCACCGCTTTAATATGTCAGTAAAGCAAAGCTAGAATCAGGCATTAGACGACACTGGCCGGTCCCTGTCTGTAAGATGTAAGTTACAGGCCTTGATTTCCCATCGTCCAAAAAACAAAAGAAATGTCTTTATTGGCAGAAACGACGGAATTTTGAATTGTGTAAATGTATTTATGGCGCTTGTTAACAGAGAAGTAAAAGCTGGCCGGACCGACAAGAAAACCATGCTGTTACTAGAAAAATTTCCCTTCGCATTATACAGCAGTCCACACCACACTCAAATACGTTTCTAAGATCAATTTTAATAATACCATTCTCCCATTTTAGCTGGCCGTCCAAAATGGTCTCTTCAATTCGGGTTTTACATAAAAGGTCGGGGAATTTGTTCTTCCTAGCCGATTAAGTCCCCATGTCAAGGAGTTCATCGAGATAACAGTAGGTTAGATATCAGGTTCTCACGGAGGCAAGTATAAGGTCTTTTCTGACTGGTAGAAGTTTACCGACGTTTCAGAGGTGCTTGCTGCAGTACGATCGTCACCATGATGATTATAGCAAACACCATATTTATTAAAGTCTTAGCTATCGTTGCATGTTATGAGGTCGTATCAGTTATACACAGAAAAGGTAACTTTTTGTGCTGTAATAACTCTTAAGACAACAGCTGAACGTACGGATGTGACTACTGATTTGTCTTCGCTGTACTTTTGTTAACACTTCTGCAAAACATTTATCTTCGTGTTCTCTGTTAAATCAGAACACGCCAAACGCATGTTGCGGTGTAACAACAAAGTTACCAACACGAAACTCAAGGATATGATAATGTGAATCACTGCGAGATAAGTAACAGAGTAATAATTGGAAAACACCGATTATTTATGGGCTTATCTACAGCCATTTTGCGAAGCCAGCGTTCAGCTGTTTTCTTAACCAAGCGATGGTCTGTGTGAATTTCATCAGATGAAGTTCATTGATATTTATGTAATCATACACTATAAAGGATTTGTGAGAAATTTGTGTACCTATAACGCCCGGAAAAGTAAGTTGCAATTATTCTGTGGGATCCAGAAGGAACACTGTTTACCCCTCAGATATTATCATTCTCGGTTACACCTGACATTTAACGGCAAACAATAATTGGCGGATTTAAGTGAAGGGAGAAGTCTGGTGGTTTCAAAATATATCCCTAACTTGACAATGTTGTATGAATATGACCTGATAATATTAGTAAAAAGACGCAAATATAAATAAATAAAAATCTCTGTACTTTAAATGATATATCGGTTTACGCGTGTTTTTTTAAGGCTGTAGTCCGCAGAGAATGGAAAAAGCTCAATGTGTAAAATAATAAAACCTTTATCTTTAAAATGTATATGTAAGATTTTAACTGAATTGTTGTATTTCCACAAAAACTTATTCCAGTGTCGATGGCATTAATATACATTTCGGATGAACTCAACAAGTAGAGCATTCGGAAACCACACGAGAGAAGATGATCGAAGGATAATATTAAAAAAATCGTAATGAAATGACGCGTCTGATTATGTACGTAAAAGCCAACAAATACGGAGTAAAAGTAACTAGTTTTTGTAATATTTGTATACGGTACTGTACGGTATGAACAGTGTTACAACACACAAGAATAACTTGAATGCCTATATGTCATTAAAAAAAGATCAAGAATAAACTCTCAAGAAGAGAAGTTAAATTGTTTTGAATATGTGATTTAAAATACTGACTTGATTTAATGAAAGAAATGGACCTGTATTTCTTAACAGGGATTAAAAATTGTGGTTGGTATTTTAAGACTTTGCCTATATTTTGTTGGCATATATCCAAATAGTTACGAATCCTACCAGAAGAGGGCAGTTTGAAGAAGGTCTGGAAGAAGCCCAGGCTATATTTAGTGTGGAGTAAGTTACTTACAGGCCGTATTACACTGCACACAAATTTGCATGTCAACATTTGAGGAAAAGTCTAATGATAGACCTACAATTTTAGTGCCATTCAGAAATATAGTTGCGTTAGAATCCGTCCACTGCGTGTGTGACTGACGTCCAAGAATATCATACAGATGGATGCGTCTTATGAAGTTAACAAACACGCAAGAAGAAAGCTTCAGGAAGTAAATTGTCTTTAATCTGGA